GCAAACATAAGGTCGAACATCGAACGTCTTCGGCATATCCGCCGCAATCGCTTTACTTGTTTATCTATCATCCTTTCATCATCAACTCTATTGTAAACTATGACTACTCTTCGACATATATATATCACGATACGGATTAGTATGCCTAACACACACGACATTTCGCTTTACACTAAATACTTAAATATTACACGTTCAACCCAGTCTATAACAAACGTTAAAACCATGGTAGTGTAAAGGTCAGGCGATGAGAAAGAAGATGTGATGGTGACTATCAAGAAATATGACAAATTATTGAAACGTTGAACAGAACGATGAGAAAATTGCAAATGAATCGTCGCGAAAATTGAGTTATAATCCTGCAAAAAACTCAAGAAACAAAAATTATCAATTGAGGGATATAGAAAGTAGGATGGCATTTTTGCGTTAATAACTTTTGGCGATTTCTTAAATGATATCTCACGAGTTTAGCAGCGGTTGCGTTTCCATCGAATCCGAACTGTCTGACTTGCAAACAATCAGACACTTTGGAAAAGCGATGAATTTTTTTTCTAATACGAGGCTGTCACGCGAATGATTTGTCGATGCGAAATCGATTAATTAAGAAATTTAACTTTCAATAAATCGATTCTATTCCAAACCAAGTTATTCAAAGGAAAAATACGATCAGATTTAACTTTTAAATCAGATCGAAGTTTATTGAATTATAACAGATCTCAATATAGAAACATTAGGCAAATTATTATCCATCTGCGCGTCCGAGTACAACTCGAGTACAACAAATATTCATATTATAGCGCAAAAAAATATATTCATCCATAGAAAAAAAATTGAACGAAGAACAATGCTCAATCGGGAATGTAAATTTATTTCAGGAACATCGAACATACGTCAGAGTTATCGTCGCCTCGCTACATGCAGATAATTATTCTACCCTATATCGTGGATTATTCGTGTACAAAAGATCGAAATATAAATAAATCTTATTCCTTTAATCGAATCGCGCTACGCATAATTATTCTTTTGCCTCTGTTAAAACGTATATGCATGATGTGACTAAAGAGTGATCTTATGTGTTACATATTCTTTTGGCACCTTGTTATATTTTCATATATTATGATCATTCAAGAAATGGCCAGAAAAACTGTTATTTTCAGAGACACATAAACCATACAAAAACTCTTTTAAAAAAGACCCATTTATTATGTTCTCATTTTTTTTAGAATAGAGAAATTAAGTGAATTATAACCGAATCCGAGAAAAAAAAAGCAAATAATGTAAAAGATATTATATATGACGACAGATAGATACATTTTGCCGCCAAATTCGCATAGACTGAGGTGAAAAATCTATCTCAAGCATAACTAAAGATATGAAGGAAACAACTTCGAAGTACATGTACCGAGGGCGACTGAGAAAAAAAAGATTGTATCTTTTACGGTTTTTTTTTTAACACCCTGTGTAACACGCGAAAACGCTAGAAACGGTCCTATGATATTTAACGGTAGAAGGGAAAAGGGAGGCTCCGCTAAATATTCTCACGGTAACGAACTTCGAAGTATCCATGCTTATAATATATATGTATATATACCATCATTTTAACGTGATACTTAAACCGGGAAACACTCTGTATCTTATATACAATGTATACAGGCTACGACATACAAATATTAATCTAATCCTTGTGCTACTCGATACTTCCGCATAATAATATACCAATATAACCATTTACTCACATGTTGCGTGTACATATATGTATATGCATATATGTATACATATATATATGTTATATACACATATACACATAAATATACACATATACAATATACATATAATAGACTATTTTATACTCGCTCCGTGTTTTACTAATCTCTACGGTATCCCCTCTCTTCCGCGTGTGCGGTAGAAGACTATTGTAATTACGAAAAATCGGCAACACCTTCGATCCAAATGTAACGCTTAAAATGTAAAAATATTTCCGGGATATATCTGTCACGATTGCAAAAGGAAGGATTGCGGAAATGGGGCATGGATGAGGTGGGAACGAGATTAATCTGGGGGGAGTAGTGTAGGTGAATTCTTTAATAATGATACTTTTTCTCTTTCTCTCTCTCACTTTCTCTCCATCTCATCACGTCAAACGTACACATAAAAAAGAAACATGCTGTCGGCTCTCAACGGCAATCTCACGGTATCCTGATATCTGCGGTATCCCGCCGATCGTTCATCATATGCAAGGGAACGTCACTAATTGTAAAGCATCACTCGCACTCGGAAAGCTTTCCGACAGAGAGTCTTCGTAGCACTATGTCAGTTGCGATATATACACGAGTTTGCGAGTTTATATATGATCCAGCATTAGCTGGCGTTGTCGTCGCGACTAGAACTCGTGTGAAACAAAGAATTAAAAATGTTAAGAGAATATGGAAATAGATTGAGCCGCTTTCTTCCATTTTTCTAAAGGAAATGAATGTCCTTATTATTATATCACTCGACGTTGTTATCCCCGACAAACAACAATTTCGTTCGGTTGACTCTCTGCAGCAAATCGCGCTAAAGACAGATACTTTCCACCGATTAACTTTCCGGACGCAAGCGACGCTCAACGCTAAACTTGGTTTAAACACAACATGGATCGTTCGTCCTTTTTTACTTTTTTCTTTTTCTTTTTTCTTTTTTTTTTTTTTAGATTAACGGCGCACACTCTCCGAGTGTACCGAGCAAATTCGCACGTGAATTTGACTCGTGTTTCTATTGTTAACAACAGCAGACTATCAGGTATAACGTAACAGTATTTCCTTTCTCCCCCCGATGTGAGGTACACCGGTCGCACTTCGGTGCGTGAATATTTCCAAAGAATCGCCCTGACTTTATCAATACAAAAGTGCCGTCAAAAATATCTCTCCCTTACCGGACTTTTTAGTAATAATTAGGAGTCACGCGAATAGGAAATTCGTGTGTTACCCGGATAATCGTGAGCAACGCTAACCAAAAGCGTAACTAACAAGGGGAGGTAGAGATGGGCGAAATCGATCAATCGTACCGATAAACTGTTTTTTAGTTATTCTTAATTAGACAGATGCTGACACATTATTTTTCTCAATTGTACCACCGTGCTAGTACTGGAATACTGATAGAAATCCTCAAACTCCACACATTGAATGAATTATAGCACAGTCAATAGTTGAATAGCAACTCAAAAGTAATCGAATTAATCTAGTGTGATACGTACATATATATTTTAGTTGCTCAATTATTGTTCCAGTTGAACGAAATTCTAAAATTCGTGAACACAAAATATTTGCATAAAAATTATGAACAGTTAATTGTTTTATCCTATTCATTTTTCGATTCCTTTATTTTATTCCTTACAATTTCAAATCAGATCTTTTTTTCACACCATTTAAATTTTTGCGCGTTTCAAGTGTATTTCATAATTAAAATAACTAAAAATGTCCATGAAAAACCAGTAAAACTGATTAGTTAATTAATGCCCATCCCTACAAAGATATCGCTTGTCTCCTATGAACTATCTCGAAATGTTTCGCCCCTATTTGAAGGGACGCGCTTTGATAGTAACAGAGGTTATTATTTTGCTCGTTTCTTCGCATTCTCGAAGCATCCTACATCACAAACATCAACATTGGAAACTACTATAGTATTCTGAATTTTTCGCCACATCCGTGTTCTCTACGGATTTGGCGCTATTTTAACAATTGCACGTATACATCGAAATTAATCACGTACTTCCGTGAGAAATGGCAAAAGAAAAATTGGACGTAAAATCAAAGTAATCTGAAGCCAAAGTTTTAACTCCTAAAATCCACTAAAATCGGATTGTCCCTAAAAGTGCCTGTACGCAACTATAGTTTGTAAACAAGGTTGTTTCGATAGGGTTACGTTCAGTTTCAAAACTTTGTTAGCAAAGTAATTCTAAAAACCACATTAGATATAGGTTTCGATACAGTAGCAAAAACTATTTTATTTCAAACATCTTTTTAGGTACGATCGAACGTATAATATTTAAGTAACGATTCACGAAATTATTTAATAAAAATAATTAATATTAAGAGATAAAAAATTTAATTTTTTTAATTTTTTAATTCTTTTAAGTTTTGGAAAATATATAAAAATATTACATCTAAATGCGTATAACTTTTAAACATCTGAACCGTTAAATCAAAATGTTTACATTGAAAAATTAAATATAATTTTACTTTTAAACAGAGATAAAAATGACATTTTTCGAAACCTTAAATGAAATAAACATTTTTTAAAAATTATAACAATCTCTGAAATGTCAAAGCTAAAATATACAAATTTAAAATAGCGCTGAAAAGATTATGAAATTTGCATAAATATTTGCATTTATACAAATCAAGGTGATCAAGTGTTTCAAAACATATACCTATTGCTAAATTAAAATCGCTTTAGAAAGTCTAAAACTATCTAAAACAAATTTAGAAAATAATTTAAAATTTTTTTAATTTACATAATTTTGGCTGTAATTTTTTTAAAAGATGATCGTACTTAAAAATACGTCATTAGGAAATTTCATTGAAATAGCCTTGGGAAAGGAGCAAACTTTCAAGAAATTTGTTATAGATATAATTTTGAGGATAGAGATGCGCAAAAGTGCGAGCAAATTATATTTAAATAAAGGAGACGTGCAGATTCGTTTATCGTCGTTTGTTATAACATGTTTGTATGAAATTTTTAACTCCTATAACGATCAAAGTCCGGTTATATAAATAATAAGTCTCGCGATATCGACAGATCCTGGTTCACGCAATATCTTAATACATAATAATAACGTTTAATAGAAATATAAACGTCTTGAATGCAATTTGTAATCCCGTCATTACATTGACGTGGTATTCATTGTTTAAGAAAGCTCGTCGGCTTTACAGTTCAGGTTCCATTCTCTTGAGATAATCTCTTCTAATTAGACAGTTGAAGGAGCAAGTAAAAGAAAGCGTAATATGTCGATCATTATTTGATTCGCCTTTAACCTCGAGTCAATTGTCGCAGTAGCAAAATTTCGTGCTACGCATTCTCGATCCATGACTGAGTTTCAACAAGAAGTGTTACATTGCTAAACTGACATCACTATCTAATAACGCGAATTTTTATCCATAAAAATAGCACTCTTCCTTTGTAGAAGAATGTGATGCATATCTTGTTCATCTACTTGCTCCTTTGATTTTAATATTTCCAGTTCCGACGTGTTTTCGAGCGCGCGTAGACTCAAACAATATAAAAGCCCGGCAAAACGCCTACAGGACATTTAAACGCGACGTTCTATCAAACACTCGCGCGAAACTGACGAGCAAAATGCTCGAGTTGTTCGTCCTGGAAAGAACGATCAATTTTACCTGCGGTATAATATCGCAGATCCCGTGTCGAACACCGCACCGGGCGGTAATGAGGCGGACACGGATAAGAAAATGGGAGGGAGGGATGGAGAAGAAGAGGTTGAGAAAATAAGAGGAATGGCACCTGATGTGCCCGGAGAGGCTGCCCGATTTCGCTACGACGGAAGACTGAGTCTTCAGCCCGTAGCCATTTGCTGTGTCCCTCCTCTTGCGGGTGCGACTACCGTCAATGCGATTATTAATTTCTGTTCAAAACGCTTGACAGATTCGCCATTGTACTAGTAATAACGATAATTCACCACGTACGTTGCTCGTTAATACGCAATGATAGCTCAATAACAGGCGATAACGAGAACGTCTCGGATTCCTAATCGTGATTAACACATAATCGGCACTGCTCCCCGACGACCAGCGTCGCTAAGAGCACTCCGCGCGATGCGAAGGAGGATATTATACAGTCGTTGATGGATACGGGCTGATGGGTACTCTCGTCGAGATCGGTTGCGATCGGGTAAAGGATATCGAGCAAAAAAAAAAAAGAAAAAAGAGTGGTTTCGTTAACGTAACTTTGATGGGTAACGCATCCCAGGAGGGGGGAAGAAACCGACAGAATATCATTTATCGTCGATCAGGATAAGCGTGTCCTTTACTCGGGCTTCAAGCGATGCCACTGCACGATGGTCTGCCTCGGCTTTGTGATCATGTCCTGCCAATGTTTCGTTTCACTCGCCCCACTTCCATTTTTTCCTGCAAAGAAAGTTACACCGTACATTGTACACCGGACTCCAATTTCAATCTGCTATTTGTTTCTATGACGTTTAATTACAGTTACTTGACTACGACGCACTACAACGTTACTTTAGCGCAAAAAGAACTTCGAATTTCAAACATTAAATATTTTTTCAGACAAAATGTAACTACTAAAATTCTGAATAGTTCAGGTCAACCCAAACGTGTGATATGTCATAATATGTAACTCAATTAGCCTGATACTCTCTTTTAAAAACTAATGATAATCATGAAAACACAATAAAATATTATTATGTCCAAATTTGAATCTATTCTCACACACGTGTGATATTCAGAAATAGTAAAAATCGAACAGAAAACTATAGATATTTTGAAACATATTATTTTTAACTATCTCCGTCAATTATAATTAAAAAGTTTCAGAATCTTAACAATTCATTATTTTAAATATAAATCTATCGATAGAATTGAGGCAGAAGTTTATATTTAGAGATACGTATTGAAAAGTTTAAAATACCTGCGAGCTGAATCCGACCGATCAGTTCGTTTCGTCCAATGTTGTCGAAATCCATCACCATTACATCCAAAGAGCATTCTCTGATTTTCTCCCAAGGTACATTAAAGGAGAATACCTCATTAAATACAGGATTCAAGGTGCATTTGAAAATAGGAGTCTTGCGTTTCTCGATCCTCTTGTCACCAAACTGTAGCCATACCTTGACGTATGGATCTACAATAGTAAATATTTAATTACTCATTCAGTTTCTCATTCTCTCAACAGAAAAATATAATAAAACGCGTCGTTATACAAGCGACGTTGTGATGCAATTTAATTCAAAAAATATTATTAATACACATAGCAGAAAATATATTTTACACCATTTTTTAAGTGTGTGTTTATGTTTCAAAATGCATAATTATGTAAATTCTTTAAAAATGTTCATCGAGTGCCTTAGTTTATCATAATATTAGAGAATTCACGAACAATATGATGAACGTAACATTACCTGATTTTCCGTTAATATCCTTAGCTTTGAGATTCCTCGCCTTCAAGAGAGTCAACGTCAATATGGAATTACTCGGATGATAGCACAGCGAGCATAAGAGTTCTCCACATTTATCTTTAGCCGGCGGCTTAAGAGCTTTCCAAAATGATGGTTTCTCGGATAGATCGACCTACAACAAACAAACCCGCGAGATATTGCTAATAATTAAAGTTGAAACAATTGTCGAACTAATTAACAAATCAAATTTCAAATATAGAATTTAACATAAAGACAGGAAGGATTATAACAAGAATTTCTCTATTATATATGCGAGTATTAACAAACTTTAACTAATTTCCATTAATTCCATAGTAAAGTTAAATAACGTGCAGAATTCTGAACATATTCAGAAATAATGAAATCAAAACAGAAACGAAAAGTTCTCCATGCACATGTGCTCCTCTCTGTCTTTCTTTCTCACTCTTTGCATATCTTTATTAAACATTATACTCTTTAGGAAAGCATTTGCCATATTATCATTAATACGTTCGTCACGTTTGTCTGTTATTAGGGTACAGCGAACGCGAGATAATTAGTATTCTGCTCGGAGTGATCACGTGCGGACATAATAGTTAATTGATATCATATGTTGCAAATTACAAATGCAAAATTTTTGCAGCATAAACATATCCCGAATTATATGAATATGTTACGCTTCGCATGATACAAATTGGTCATTTGGAGCTCGCTCTACGGTCAGAACAATTGTTATTTAAACAAAAAGAAAATTATTTGCCCCAGATCATAATATATTATTACTATTGTTATTACTATTGTTATTACTATTAACAAATTGTTTCGTTATAACGTTATGTCGTAAAATATTCTATGTAATATTAATCTTTCCGTATATACGTATGTACAAAATATAATATTAATCTTTATATATACTATGCAGTGCGTGAGATCCATGATTTGTGCAACGACCCATTCGCAATGCTAGCATATATCATGAATTGCTCCTGGGAAATGAATGTGTGCATAGGATAGAATTATCACACGCGCATGTCCCCCGGTGTTATTGTGCGCGCAGATTAATCCATTACTCGATAGATCTTCGGTAATATTGATATCAAGCAAGAATTATATATTGTTATGTGGTATATTGTCATGTAGTCCCCCTACACAATTAATAAATTAAAAATTATTTCTGTTTACGTAAAAAAAATATTCGTTAAAAATTCGGCCGATTTTTTAAAATATTTTCAAGAATTTAATATATTGCAGACGAAATTCTATTTTTTTAATAAACTTACGAACAAATTTATATATATATATATATATAAATTTGCACTTTTTGGATTTTGAAAGTTTTTGTCTGAAACAGTTAATGCAGTGGTCAATTTATTTGAATAATAATTCTACGATGATAGATTTGTTCTTTAAACAGTAATTCCACGGATCATAATTACAAGATAAGGGTTCGAAAGCTGATGCAAAACGAGAGACATGACATGTGCAACACGTCAGATTCCACTTATCCGTTGTGAATCCTATTGCCATAGCATGCGAATCCCTTAATCCGCATCTACCGCGTGTAATAATTGAACCGCACAAATTGCGAGCAGGCACGTCTCGCCAAATTACCTGGCAAAGCGGCAGAAACATTTCCCCTATGGAGTCATCCCTCGAGAATCGATCATAGTCGAAGACGTGTAGATGTAATACCCTGCTCTGCAGCTTCTGTATGGGGAAACCTGAGAAGAGAACCGACACATAAATATGTATACTTTGCTATATCACGATAACTTTGACTTTGATGAAATTTATTTACATTTTGTTTATACGACAAATATTTCTTTTTTTATAATTTGTAAGCAGTCCACCTTTTGTACTATCAAAATATTGCGTTGACGGTGAACTAATATTTCAACATAATTCCTCATTCACGAAGAAAAATTGGATGCAAAAAAAAATTTATTTATTTGTATTCCAATTTTTTATCTCGCAGATCTAATCTTAAGTAGAAGATTATATCAGATTGCTTTGTTATTTTCAGATTGTTACAGTATGCTGCGGTTTCTTTCCTTAAACCGGCTTAACGCAATCAAATATTATACAATGTCGCTGTCTTATACCTACCGCACTGCACGAACTAAAATTGCTTTGCATTTATTCCTTTCCCCGCGTTTACCTTTGGGAAAAAGTTAACGGACCAATGCGAAAAGTATTGCCGAACACGTGCGCTTACCTTCGAAATAGAACGTCTCGTTCCATCTCGGATTCAACGTGCGCCTTTTGATTTTTGTCTCGAGTCGGTGTTTCTTATCCGGTAGCAGCGTTACACGCACGTACGGATCGGAAGTGCCTGACAAGTCCTTCGCCGGCAGATCTTTACCCTAAAGAAAATCGAATATCAGTACGAAAGGGTGAGGATGGAATTTTAATCCTCCACGAATCAGGTGGGGTGTGACATACCTTAGCAAAATGAATTTTTATAACTTTTTAAAAAGTACCGCGCATGTTGCCAGTTTCGTGCAACTGGAGAGTGCATACTTATCAATTTGTTACCGTACTGAACTAAAATACATTTTATGATGAAGTATACAGCATGAGATATATCCACATATGATCCATGTTGATTTTCCACCTGGTTCACGAAGGGTTAAAGAACAAAGAACTTTCTATGGTCCTTTAAGCTTCCCACGATTACGTGGAATATGTACATTTTCATGTACTTTCGCGATAAGTCTTCTTACGGAAAGTGAAGTTCGATGTAAATCTCTCTATACATACAACTCTACGCGTGAAGCCTGCATAATGTTATAAACGAAGCTGGATCTTCCACTCGATTATATGACACCTATGACAGCATAAAATGGCCAAAATTCTTTCAGATTTACGAGCGAACGAACAGAAGAAGAAGGGATACGAGAAAAATAGTATCTTTAAAAAGATATGAAAAGAAGACAGGAAAGTAATGACACTTGATCCGCTTTGAGTAATACGACTCGCAATATTTCAAAATAAAAAAAAAAGAACATTTTATTCCATATACGTAGCGTACGTCAAAATGAAAATGTGCAGTATGTATCCGCGTTGAAATCCGTAACTTTATTCATATTTATATGCATAGCTATTGTTTCGTTCAAAATATTATAGAACATACGCATTTGTCTACCGAAGGAGATATACGTCTTTGTTTCCGTTGCATCTTACAAAGCTCTCATCTAAGTCTCTGAAACTTGTATGTGTACGAGAATTTACGGAGTTCACAGTGTACGCGCAACAGCCTCTGTATGATGGAACTATATAAGTATCGTTCTGAGACAGATTGTGAGCATGTGAGCAGCCGTTGTGTGTGCGCAGCACAGTCGATACTGTTAATGGGAGCTACATAGACGGGGAAACAAAATCAATAACCGCCTTTAACGACCTTGATGGCCGCCTGTGTTTTGAAAAATAAGTCCTGCCTGAAAGTGCTCTCTTTCCAACTTTTCGCAATGGCTCGTTTTAAAAAGTCGCTCGTGGCCTTGAAGGCATTTATGCCAGAGGTGGACGGTCATTTTTCATTTGGCTGTCAGACCGTTTCTCGGAACTCCATAACGTCATTATGCTGACTCAAATTTCTCGCGAAGAAACGATTCCGTGCGATTTAAAGTATCGCGAAACTTTACAAACAAACTTCGAGATTACGACACGGAAGTTCAAAAAAATGCCCACTTAAGAAAAGAATTCCCGCGCAAACGTGATTGCGAAGGTGTTCTTTTTTGTTTACGAATCATTAAAGATAAATTACATTTTGCCGATTAAATCGTTAATCTTTATTTAATTTCAAGTTTTATGTACTTAAAATCAAAATGAAATTTTGACATATAAAATATTACTTGATGTTGATAATTGAAACGAAAATTAAAAGATGTAAGAGGAAAGATAGAGCTCGGTTAAATTTCCGTTAAGGAAAAGTCGATTTTTCACAAACTGACAAAATTTCTAACTATAGGTACATATACGTTTGTAACTTCATGACATGTGTGTGTTTTACATGAGTATTTCTATATGAGAAATTTCTACTTTCGAGTTTACAAATTACGAAGATATTGAACGTGAATGGAATAAACGCGATGTCTTTGGTGAACGCTTGGTTGAACATTTCGAGGTGTCGCGACAAATTTTCACGCCACCAAAGACACGAGGAAGCTCGCAAAAATAGGAATTTTTAAGGTCGGAAGTATGTTTCCGCTTTCATCGCAGGTATACATACATTCCGGGTCATTTATGATGCGCGTTAGCCACAAAAAATACATTTTGGACGAAATTAACCGAATAGTCTGGAAAAACAGAGATATACCTCGTAAAAATCACGTCGTGCTCGCGTCAAATTTCGCAGAATTAACGAGATAACGTGGAAAATAAAAAACAGTCACACTTTTAATAATTTTACAGACGTAATTTGACGCGCTATTAGAAACACATACAATAAAAAATAAATTGTAATACATCAAAGTACTTCGTTAAATAATTCAACAAATGATTAAATATTCGTTAAGGAAAAGAGGTCGGATGCAAATGGAGCGAGAAATAAAATTTTTACCGGCATACTTCTTTGATAAACTGCACGATAATGCTACGCGCAATTTCATTATAATTTTTTTTCATTAAAAGTAACATATAGTTGTATCCTCGTGGCACGAAGAAATTAATATTACATTTTCGTAATAATAATGTAATTTCACATGTCTCTACGGAATGAAAAGTAATTACATGTTAAAGCTTCAGACAACGCATTAACATAAAATTTGTGTGCACCAATGCATATCGATGTGATCACATAAACGATGCACTTCGTACTTAGAAAGATGTTCTCTAACTACCGAGATCTTGGCACGATAATTTTCACCGAGGAAAACAAAGAAAACGATGCCCGAGTGTTTCGCTTAATGTCGGATTAAATCGCGCGAGGCGAAAACAGTTCAGCGTTTGGAAAGAATTTATGCGTTTGTTTACAACAAAAGTCCCCGTTCCGTTGAACATTTCGCTTTCCCCCCCCCCCCCCCCCCCCCCAGTTTACCAGGATACATATTTTCGCGCACGTACAGATACATTTTTCGTGGCAACGCGTGTCCCGTGTTGACGATTTATAACAACCCTTATCGACGTGGCTGTGGCCGTAGTAAAACCAAAAATCAAGCTAATGGGCCCATCTACATCCCGGTTTTACGTTTCCACAGCCTGTGCCGGAACACACCGTCGACAACGACAGAAATGCACATATCAATTTATTTACGTAATTTGTTTACGTAACACACAGTTATACGAGCGGAGTGGCTCGAGAAAGTCACTTTATATTTTACTTCTAAATATTTTTGTTCCGTACTTTTCGAACTCTCAATGCGGACGTCATTAATCGGGGTAAACGGTCGATTTATCCGCATCGGCAATAAGAATTTATCAAATTTCGATTTTATTAATATTTACGTAGTAGGTTCAAAAGTTTGCAATCCGAGAATATAAAAAAGATAATAAAATGAAATAACCATTTTTATTTCTTCATATAATTGCTTTTTATTTCAATACGTTTTTTTAGAATAACTACATTTTTTATACTGCTAAAAAAAATATTCTGAATTTTTATCCTTAAAATGGTTCAACACTGCGGAGATCACTTCTCCATTCCTAGTAAATTTTTTTCCATGTAAATCGGACTTCAATTGAGAATAAAATAGCTTTGATAATAAAAAAATAATTTTCAAAATTGAAATCCAATTTGCATGGAAATAAATTTATCAGTGATAAATTAATATCTACAGTGTTATAAATTGTTTTAAAAAGAAAAATTCACAATATTTTTTAATGATACATAAAAATGGATATAGATAAAGGATGCTTAAATTATTTCTATTCTTAAACTGGAAACTTTTTGATCTTACCACGTTATATATTACGTCTTCTTATATTTTATATAAAATTGCATCGGCATGATATATTATTACGCTCTTCTACTGGAATGGAATGTAGCGATCGACGACTGCGTCGATCACACGCAAACACGGAGATATCGAAGCAAACGGCTAGCAAGCATATTTCAAAGAGCTAAGTTCCCGGAGGGAGCATTCATGTACGAAACTTCGACTGACCTGTATGATACGCAGAATGAGCGTACTGTTCTGGAAATCATACTCGAGACTGAAGTGGATCTGGCCAACATTCTCGCTCGGTTCCGAATTATCAATGTACATGTCGACCAAGGAGATGGACCTGCTCTGTAGAAACGCTTTCTGAAACACATAGATCGCCGAAGCTATTATTGCTATCGCTTCCTTTCAATTTCGTGAAAGATTCTTGGAATTTAAAATATATTTTGCTAAGAAGAATATGTATAGTTAGAGAAAAAAAAGAGAAAGAGAGATAATTTGTACTAAAATGTAAATCTTAAAATCGTATTACAAGAAAAAGATCTGAAACAGAAAGAATTAACTGTCATTAAATATCATGTTTGTCTCTAACACGTGAAAATTTACCGTCTCTGTATCAAGCTACAGCGTGTACAACTTAATTACATCGCAAGAACGTAAATATATTTTGTTGTAATTACAGATCAGTTTCTACGTTAAATAAAATTGTGTCACTTATACGTTATTACAATTAGTCTCAATTTTACTCTTAGAATGCAACATCGTGATAATCTCCAATTATATATATTTATATAGAGTTAATGGCAATTGCATTTTAATGATTACTGTTCTAGCTTTGAAAAATAATAGTCCTTCATATATTTTAGATATAATTATAATCTATGTTTAAATTAAAAAATCTATCTAAAAATGTCTAGCCCAAAGATACAAAAAAGTAATAAAATGAAGTATTTTTATTTTTCAATATAATCACGTTTTACTTCAATATTTTTCAGAACGATGAGTAAATTTTTCTGTACCTTTTTTATCACTGATAAATTTTTTCCACGAGAATTAAACTTCAATTTTTTAAATAAAAAAATAATACTAGAGAGATAATAATCACTAGAGAGCTATAAAATAAGTGAAGAAATAATCTCCGCAATGTTAAATTTTAAGGACCAAAATTTTTAATATTTTTTGGTGACATAGAGAAATAAATTCATCTAAAAAATCTATTAAAACAAAAATTATGTCAAAAAATTTTAAATGGTTGTTTTTAGTTTATAATCTTTTTTATATCTTTGAACCAGAAATTTTTGAACTTTGTTACATACTTATAACTCGTATTAAAAATTTTTGAGACAGAATCTTGTATAATGTATAATGTACCGTATAATGTAAAGTACATTTTCCATAAAAAAAATTTAAAAATTACATGAAATATATATAATAAAAATAGATATATACGGCATATATATTATAATACACGATATATAAAGTTACAAGTAAAATTTCATCCCGAAATCTGAGGTGGCAAATTATAGATTGTACGAGATTTGCGATGCTCCTCGAGATTACCTCGTTATCATGATATCCGCGTCGTCGCGTCGAAGATCAAGATGAACTTTAGAGGGCTTACCGAGGGATGTTCTCCTTTGACATTCTGCAGTTGCTTGTTTTGTGGCCCGGCGGTTGGTGTACGGGGTTCTACGCTTCCGGCATTGCTGGCGCCGCTTCCTGGTGCCGCTGTTGCTCCTGCTACACCGCTCGCGGGACCGCCGCTACCACCTGCCGGAGATTTGCTAGAGGGACTACCGGTCGTCCTGAAAAAAAAAAGACGCGAATTCATCATATTACATCATCCGCGTGCGCATTCACTTCCGATGTGATAATTGTTTTCTTTTTTCCTCTTCTCGTCTTCTCTATCACTTTGGAAACGGAGTGATATCGCAGGATCTCCTGGGACAGCGTTGGAAAGATACCGAAGTGACATTTGACAATGTTTATTCGTTTTATTAATCTTCGAAGTCTAATTATTGTCACCAAAAAGGTTTATAATTAGATATCAAATTTTTATATCAGATATTTTTTTGCAGACATGCACAAAATATGCAAATTTGCACAAATATGCAAATATGCACAAATAAATGTTTTAATGAGACAAATCTATTTTTGTTATTTTTCAACCTGCTTTCCAAAAAAATGAAATTGAAAATATGAAATAAGAATCCGACGTCTACTTATAATTTTGAATATAGCTTATCTTTACTGTATCATTTTTTACGTAATTACTAGAAAGAGTCAGTCTTTCGTACTCGTTTTGCATTATTTTTCGTTTCTATTTTTCTTACAAAATTCCTTTTAAGACATCGATCTAATCTCTACAAACAGATATTTCAGCTTTCATACACACCATGATTTGTTTTATTACATTGTATCACTTGTATTATAATTTCATATACTTTGAGAATATTAAATATTTAATCAAATTAAATATCCAATTGATTAATCCAGAATTACGAAGCGTGGAAATTACGCGATTGTTTAATTTTGACCTATGCTGCACATTTATACAATTAAATCTGTCGCCCACAATTGATTCTGACAATTACCCGCCGTACGTTTTATTTTACATACAATGTTAAATTAATATGAAAGTACGAAGAAATAACGAGATAAATATTGTCATTATAGCGGAGTTAACGCTTTAGAAACACCTGATTGATTCGAAACTTGCTGACAATTAGGGGGACTGGGATTCTTGTTGGCTCCCTCCTCCCTCTGTGATGCATGCACAGGCTTATCAACAGTGGCGTACATACATCCCAGCGATACGTTTCTATAACGTACGCTAGGCATAATAGGCGACCTAGGATCTAGATAAATCTTATCGCTCCGACTACTGTGTCGCATCTACTGCGAGCACACTATGCTGCTAATCGAGACAGCATTCTCTCGCAGGCACGCAAGCCGATACGCTTCCAGCATGTCATCGGCTTATTAATAGTTGCTGTTTACCAGTCGCAACTGCGGAGCGTCCATAACTGTGCAGAAACAGCTGAAGCCACGGCAGGGAAAAAAATTAATTTACTGCATGAACATTATAAAAAATAAAAAAAAATAGGAAGGAAAAAAAAATCGATGCGAATATGCAGGCTTAGAACGCTCGGTACGGAGCTAATGATCTTGTCTGTTCTACAAAAGGATAAAAAAAAAAAAGAATAATCGCAAGTCTGACAAAACAAAAAGGAAGGTAATTACGTCATCCAGTAATATGGAGATGCTCTTATTAGATAACTATACAGATCGAAGTATACAGGTTGTATGTAAGATGCACTCAAGCTCCGTGAATGTATAAATCACTGAAGCATTGAAGAATAACTATTGATACGTACCTATACAAATTAATATATAGGTATATTGATGTAAGTTATATATCAAATTCCGAGATGAAATGAGTACAAACTATTCTGCTAATTAGTCGATGATATAACAAATGCGTTGTACGTTCGTTAGTATTATTTTAACTAAATTTGTTATACCCGTAGCGTTCGCATGCTTTTCTATATAAGCTCCAATTTATGCAGATACATATACTTAAATAATCTGCAAATCTATTACATCATTTGTCGACGTAACCGATGTCCATGTTGTTCGTACAAAATGCAAAAATGCAATCCCGTGCTTTTTACGTACTCGCAGAAATCAATCACGTCATTGAACAGTAACATCTATCTCTCGCTCGTATGAAAGGGAAAAATACACATTCGCATAAATTCTTTTTATCCGATTAAAGCTCTCATGCACAGCAGATATATTTTATCGGATCGGCGAGCTCCCTTATTTACCGCGATTCTCTATTCATAACTCATAAATAAGAATGAGAAAAAAAATCCGCGTGAACGAAGTGTCCCCGATATATAGGAAAGTACATCGTGCAATACCTACGATAACATAACCGGCATAAATTTAAATGACCGTCGTCGCCGAAACGTCGTATCAAAACGATTGATTAAAAAAATCCAAGACTTCGCGCAAGATTGGTTTCACATTTCCCTAAATGTTATAAATAATTACGAAAAAAAAAATTACATTTCAGCGGAAAATATGTTTAAATAAACTACGAAAATTTTGCCAATATTGATGAAATGCTTGTTAACTCGCTCTATATCGTTGGGTAATACCTGTCGAGTGTTTAAACAAGTTTGCATGAAAATTAATGCTCTGCTGGCGTTTTATATTTCGATATAGAATGAATTCACGTAGTAAGATGATACACGTATTGGATTTACGAGAAATTGAACAAGAGAAATATTAAAAGTTAAAAAATTCAAAAATATTAAAACATAATTCTTGTAAAACTAATTTTCTCATCTCGTTTTGCACATTTAATTAAAATACATATTCGCGTAATTGTCTTGTTCAATAATAAAATCAAACAAATCATATACTAATTAATTTTGATAATTATATTCCCGCGTTATTATTTTCAATCTAATGGAATATTCCAAAATACTAAAAATATAATATTAAATTATAATATTAAAAGATCAAAAAGACATAACGATTCTCAATTTAGTTTTAAAATGGCTAAAGGTCTAACATTAAAAACATAATATAACAAAAATGGGATAATATTATATTACAAATATTACAAAATTTTATATCGCAGACATTCTCGTATTTAAAAATACGACTTTGTGTTAAAAATTTCGGTTTTATCGGTAATTGCAAATTCTAATTCATCGCTGTAATTGCTCGATATATATATCGTTTCAATATTACAACCAATTCTCAACAACTACGCCATGAACGATAATTACCGTAAGACGTCGGCCCGTTTCATCAATATACCTCTGGGTAAACAGGAAACTTGAGCATACAAATTTGCTTCGATACCGCTTCATAAACCGTCGTCTGGACGCTTGTGTGTCGGCGCACGGGAGAATTTCGGACCTGTAATTCGAACTAACGCGGCAAGCAAACGCGACATTTAAGCGCATTTGCAAAAGGTTAAGGGCGTACAATAGGTAAATCGTACCGGGCGATAACGGAAACGCCTGCGACACGTTATTTTCAGCCGTGGCTCGACAACACGTAACTAGAAACCGTACAGGATTCAACCGGTGCCGAGCGGATGCACAGCTGGAGAGGCTCATTGTATTCAGCTCGAGTGAATGGCGACCGCGCACTCGCGGAACTAAGTTTTATGAGAATAGTGTAGCAGAAGTTTCACCGCGGCGTGTACTCGTATTTATCAGAACACCTGCCGTGTATAAATAGCATAACTTGTATTCCAAAATTCTGAGACTAAGAGAGGCTAACGCGTAACGAGAGGAAATCAGTTCTGGAAAATCAACGTCGATGGAAATCAAATTTAGTCCCTCGCAATTAATTTCGCCTTAAACCTAAAATAAAAGTATGGAATCATTATAGCGAATTCTTTTTGAGATTTTTTTACATTTTTTTTTACTTCGTCTAATTGTCAGCGAGATTTCATATTGATTAATTCTATTGGTACATGCAACGTCTTCCTTTTTTTCTAAACTAGTGAAACATACAATCGAGTGATGTTGACTCGAAGTCGTTAAAAAATATCGAAAAACTATGTATCCATGTAATGCTAACAGCGAACGTTTATGTTGTAAATGCTGTTAGTACGACGTCGCTGGCCGTGTAAACAAGATCTTTTGTATCTATTCGATAGCAGGCGTGTATTAACGTATGTATCGTGTGTATTTGTGCAGGCGAACAATAACAGTGAGGTTCCAGAGTAAAGAATAAGGTAAATCCAGTAGTGATCCGCGCACGCGAACACCGATCGAACTGAACATCCTCGAGCAGAAAGCGCTATCACTACTAATAGTAGACTGTGAGAAATACTTGACAGTACAGTAGCAGACAGGCATAGAAGACGGTAGTTCGAAAAGTAGAGACTGTGGAGTTTGTCGTGAACACAAACGCCGACTACAGACAAGACAAACAGCGTCGCAGCGTAGTAGTCATCGATGCTCATCGACGGGCAAGACAAAAGAAGCTGAACGAGCTTCTTCGACAAAGTAGAACTACTTACACACAGTTAAAGTAGCGCCGATCGGTGGGCAGTGTAATCCGTTAGAGAAGAGAAATCGAGCATAGAAAAATGAATCGTTTATTAAAAGTGTCGCATTTTATTTCGCACAGAGATCGTTCATACTTACTCTAATTGCGCTCTGCGGTTCCGATCGCATTACAGTGAAACGAAGAGGCATGAAACAGAAAAAGATCAGTGATTAATTAATTAACTGGACACACGTATACATACAGGCACACGCCGCACGACGAATGTACGATACAGTATTTGTTACATCGGACAGAGGAAGGTAAAGGAGCATCGCACCAATTCGGAGAGACAACATACAACATTAAAAACGTCGTAAAAAATATCTCTTACAATTTCAAGTTACGAATGAAGAGAATCACAAAGAAGGAAAGAAAAAAATGCGTGCACTGACACATTCAAGGACGGTTCTCGACATAGAATCCGTATTGTCAGTCTCAATAGCTTATAGACAATGCGATAGTGAGAAACATCGTCGAGCAAACGCTGCAGCAAAGTAGTAGTAGTTAACGAAGTGATAATATCTTCCAACGTTAACCCGGGCACAAAGAACTTTCAATACCCAGAATGCTCGGAGTTAATTGCCGTCTCTCTCGTTAAAAATGGAAACTTAGTAGAAAGAAAAGGATTCGTAATAATTTTATTAAGTTAGATACGGCCGTATATTTCCCTCTTCGTAATTGCGCCATGTAAAATTACTGCTCAGGTTGTTACTTTCTAGAGATTGTCAGTGGATAATCTGTAAATAATAGTGTCGACCTCGATAATAATTACATCAATTATTTCAAAATTCATTTTCATCGTCTTGAGCCTTTCAGCTTAGGGAGTATAAAGTTTAATCAAACTCCTATGAGTACGTATATAATTTTGCGCATGATGTAGTCAGTCAGTCAGAAATTCTTATTTTATATCTAATGGTTAATATAATGACAATCAAAAAGGAATATCTCATATTAATATCATATTATTCATTTATTAATATAAAATTATTACCTTTCAGAAAAAGAATAATGTATCATGTAAAGCATATTAATGAATCTGTTATAAGCCGCTATTGTTTATTATATTATATTATCGTAGTTATTAATAATATTAAAATTTCAGATTTATTTAAATCTCTTCGAAATCCAATAAAAATATGTGATATCATACAGCAATGTAACTAGTAAAATTACAAACGGGTTGAGAGAGGAAAAAACGTTTAAAAAAAGAAGCTTTCAATTTTTTTTAACAAGAAATATATATAGATATTTTTTCGTATTATGCATCCGTGTATCGATTAGGTAGGGCCATTAACTCGTTTCTTATTAGAGTATATCATCCTTTATGACCACAACCGCGGAACGCCTATCGATATTCAATAGCCACATTTGACTTCGCATTATTGCGGAATTATACTGTATGTACATATATATATGTGTATGCATGTATTTGTTAGGAATTTAGTAACTCTGAAACACGAAAATAGATACATGTATTGATAAATGAACAACACTCTATGGGATACAATATGCGATCTCGCAGATGATATCGTGGAAGTTTTGATATTAAATCAACCATACACCAACATTTCGCTCGATTCGCGCGCATTACATACGTTACTATATTAAAGATTAGAGATTCGCACATACATGAGGAAATCAATACATGTACTTGATATAGTATTTTTGTGTGTGTGTGTGTGTGTGTGTGTGTGTGTGTGTGTGTGTGTGTGTGTGTGTGTGTGTCAAGTAACAAATGTTTGGAATTAACTATTTACGTAGTCGTTTTTATTCCAACGTATCGACACCTCGATCTGATATATCTTCAAGATTTAAATTCACGTACAGGGATTTTATAAAATCTACGAAATTAAATAAATTTCACATCAAAGATTTTGCAATTTGAAATTGCGATTCAAAAAAATCTTAAATTAAAACTTATACGATATTTGCCGGATTAATAATTTTAGGGAAAAAAGATATATACATATATATACATAAAGAGAAAGTTACGTACCAAAACCGTTTAAACATTTTAATTCCATATTATAAAAATACATAATATTTTACTGTATCTCTCTCTTTTGGATTACAATTATTATATTAACGTTATATTATTACAATTATAAAAGTACGGTTTTTTTCTTGTCTAAATTATCCTAATCGGTCGCGTCAAGCTCATTCGTGCATCGTGTTGAAACTTGTAAGGAATTAGTGCCACATTCTTAACATATACAATAAACTTGTCTTTGAACTAATCATATTACTTTTGTTAATCTTTTTCAAATTTTAAAATACCTTGTTTTTAAATAAGAGATTTTTTTATATATAAAAAAAGTGTTCTTTCACGCATCAAAGATTTTTTTCCTTGTCTAAAGTGTACCAGAAATGCAGCGAATATAATGATAAAAAATTAATATACTTAAGTAAAATAATGAAACTTGTGTAAAAAATAAAAATAATAATGTACGGTCATCTCATGTATGAAACATTAAAGTGGCTCATATTGTTTCGTTAGATACCCACAACATGATGTTTCAGGAATTAATAACGTTGCGTGTAATACAAGCTATACACACACACACGTACTTTCTACAGGTTAATCGATAAAGTTACTAAGTAGAGTACAATATAAGAACGAAAATGGCGCGCATACGCCACTCTTTTGTTACACTCGATTTAACTCGATGTGAAAAACGAGCATGAGCATTGAATGTATCGTACAACATATAAAAAAAACTAAATTAATTAAAAATGAATAATTAATTGAGTAAACGCTAACTGTTGCAGTTTTAACTTAATTGTGAAGTGAAATTCTACGTTATAATTTTCATTTTAAAATCAACAAGATCGATTTGTCATGTCTTGTACCGGAAAAAAATTATATAATTAAAATTATATTAATTCTTGCTGAAAAAAAACATCTCCGGAAAGCTTCGCAGAATGAAATTATTTTAGAAACTAATTAATCTTAAATTATCAAGTTGAAACAGAAATTTTTGTATTTGTAGACTCTACATCGAGTTCTACATCAAGCGTTTAAGTCAAATAAAGTAATCTTAGAGAAATTTATTAAGTTGGAAATACTAAACCAACACACACACACACACACACACACACGCACGCACACACGCACACGCACACGCACGCGCACACGATAATAAGAGATCGTCGTAGAATAAAACTTTAATAAGATCACAGAAAAGATCTAAGAAAAATTCAATCTCTTCATCTTAATCATAAAGAAGAATAAAAAACAAAATTATCGATAATATAATTGATAAGTACCTAGCTCCTTATATATCTTATATCTTTTATATATATATTAAAGATTTCTTCTTATATTTCTTAAATTATAATATTCTTGTATATTAAATTTGGTGAAATTCAATCCAATAAAATTAGATAAAAGAGGTAAATTTTTGTAGATTTTCTCTGTTTCGTACTTTTAATTAATATAAGAAAGATTTAATAAACAACCCCCTGTTTCGCTTTTGATTCGCTATTTGATGTAATTTCAAGTTGCAATTTCAATTCGCTACGTCACCTGTTCGTTATGCCTTAACGTGTTTCGACGACAATACGTGATTAATTTAACGGCGTTATCATTCCAGGACGTGAGTGTGTACCCAATCTGTTGCCGAATCGTGAACGTACCAACAATGTTACCTTACCATTTCAATTACATTATTGAAACGCTGTTTACAAAAACGTCACGCCAAAAGCATTCTCTAAATATTTCCTACTACAATGTTAGAAAACGTGAAATAGAACGACCGTAAATTTTATCACATATTTGTTTGTAATAAAATCAATTTATTTAAGAGTGAATGTAGGAGATTATTTTGCAAATTATAACTCTCTAATTTAAATTTTTTATTTTAAAATTTTGAAAGACTTGAACTTGAAAAAACAAATTTTTTTCTAATTACGACATTATATCTCTTTAAAGAAAATAAATTCTTCTTACCATACTATAACGTATCACCAATAAAAAGAAAATATTTTATATATTGAGTTAGTAAAAATCATATTTTAAACTATTTAAAACATGCTCAATTGATGCTTTTAATATATTTTTTTAATGATACTGTTTAAAGCATGTATGAAGCATTAAAAATATATTTTAAAAATACAATGTTTTGTTCTTTAAAAAAAAAAAATATTTTCTCAATCCTGTTTTATATGATAAAAATGAAGATAAGTCACAAAAGTCACAAGTGTCATTTTATTTAAAAATCACACTAGTTTTATCTTGCCAACGACACTTTCATGAAATATACGATATATTACGGCGCCGATCATTCCAATAAATAAAAAATATTATGTCAACTGAGTGTGCAAATGGCACGGATTTGCCAGTTTTCTTGTTTTGTGTTAAATCGAGAAACGTTACGACGCTTGGCAAAAGAGCAGAAATTGCTCCTGTCGTCGCAAAAAGGCACTGAAAATACTGGAAAAACGGGAGCGACGGCTTGCCATTTCGCGATGCTTCTCCGAGTGTCACGAGGACGATTCGACTGCCCGCCTCGAATATTTTCAAATCGAGGGTGGCTACCGAGAGAGATAGATCCCGATGGATATTCCGAAATTGTTCGCGCTCAACGGGACGTCCTTGAGGACCATCGATGTGTAGTAGAGTACTTTCTCACGCTGATACACAGCACTCCTGCGGCCTTTAACCCTATTGCTGCGTTTTTCCGAAACTCTAAAACTGTCACGTTGACGCGGAAAGTATGAAAGACGCTGAAAGGGCTTTTATGCATCTTTTCTGCACGACACTATTTCACTGTGTTTATGTCCGAGAAATCGTTCCAAGGCAAGGTCACGTTATGAAAGGTAAACTGCCCGGCTGTGTGCATAATGCATATTACTCTGACCACATCCGTTAAAGAAAAAAATGTAGCACCGCGTTCAAAAAAATAGCAAATATCCTACGTATTAAATATTGTGTTCAAAATATTAATATATTATCATATACGAAAAATACAAATAACATAAAAAAATAATTTAATAATATTAATACATTAATAATTAATACACATATTATCATAATTAATATTTGTATAAAGTAATAAATTGTTTACTTTTAATTCTTCATAATTAATACATTTATATAAATAGTAATCAA